GAGATATGAAAAACCCTTTGAGTGCTTCTGCTGGAAAGGACGTGCAAACCTCAGGCATCTGAGCTTCAGAGCCAGCACATTCACAGAGCCCAAAGAGAAGGGAAAGTCAGGACAGCATTCCCTGGCCAGCCTGCTCCTGATTAACAAATTCCATGCGCAGCCAAACAGGTCTGCAAGCCCAGCAGCTTCCAGATGAGCCCTTTTCCACAGCTGATTCCTTTTCAAACAAGCAGCTGTGAATGGAATGAGCCCTCTCAGCCAGCCACCAGGCCAGCAGCAAAGGATGTTACACCACTGGAAGTGGCTGCAGGGATCAAAGGCAGCGACTTATTCTGGAACAAAGCTGGAGGAAGGGATTAGTCACTGCTGGCAGGCACAGGAGCTGGCACTGAACCCAGCCTAAGCGCTCAGAGATGCCTCCAGCACTCCCAGCCCACCTCAGCCCCCAGCAGGAGGAGAAACCAAACTGCTGCAGGGCTTTTCCAGCCACTGAGGGCCCTCACAAACCCAGCAGAGGGAGAGCAGCTGCAAGATCTGGCTGTCACATCTTAGAATGTGAGCAAAGGTTGTGAAAATATTGCTTTGGGCTAAATAAGGTTTAGCCCCAAATCACAAAATCCCAGAATGGTTTGGGTGGGAAAGGACCTTAAAGCTCACCCGGTCAATCACACCAAAAAAATTCAATCACTAATGTGCTGGATACTTTTATATTATATTTATACAGCAGGTGGGGTTTTATCCCACACAGTTTACTGCAAAGCAAGCTGGAAATTCAAATCCCAGAATGGTTTGGGTGGGAAAGGACCTTAAAATTCATTGCATTCCACCCCCTGCCATGGGCAGGGACACCTTCCACCAGCCCAGGCTGCTCCAAGCCCCCTCCAGCCTGGCCTGGAATGTTTCCAGGGATCCAGGGGCAGCCACAGCTCCTCTGGGCAACACAGAACTTCAGCAGTGGCTGTGGTGTGGCTGCTGGAGCTGGAACTGTCACACTCCTGTCCTGGGGAGGTCTCCTAAGGCAGTGCTAGAGATACAGACACTTGGGGAAAAGTCAGTCTTTGAGCTTGCACAAACAAGATTTCTCATTCACAGCCTTTGGGTTTTGCTGCAATCCCAACTAATGGGAGATGGGAAGAGTTTTTACAGCTTTAAATGTGAGGGTAAAGTGCCAGCATCTGTTCCAGGGGCAGACCTGAGTGACTACAAACTACTTCACATTACACTGGATTTCCACCTACTCACTTCAGGCTGGGGACAGGGACAGAATATTTGATCAGACTCCTGTGCAGCTTAGGAATTTTACTGATGTTTTAGTAAATTATGCCATCTATATTTAAGTCAAAGTATTTTTTTTTTTAAATCAAATATATTCTGTAGCCCTGTTTATCTCGTTATCCATGAAAGATTCAAAGTTTCAATGCAGCTTTGAGCTTGGCTCTTGATTAATTCCCAGCCCACCAGGGAAAAGAATTCTGCTTGGGAGGACAAGCCCCAAATCACAGCCAAGCAGAGCAGTTTGCAAACGCTGTTTCAAGGAGCACATCAATAAATAAGGTCAACACATGGAGGAAGGAGAACTCCAGCTCTCCTTTGGGGAATTCTGCTAGCCCAGAGCCACACATCTCTTGCTGCCAGCAGGCCCTGCTGGGGTTCAGGGCTCTGTTTTGCTTCCAAAGGCTCTTGAACGTGCTACATTGCTTTGTCTCATTAGCTTGTAATTTGCATTAAATGATAAAATGGTTTGGGTTGGAAGGGGCCTGAAAGATCATCCCATGCCAACCCCTGCTGTGGGCAGGGGCACCTTCTACTATCCCAGGCTGCTCCAAGCCCTGTCCAACCTGGCCTTGGACACTGCCAGGGATCCAGGGGCAGCCACAGCTTCTGTGGGAAACCTCTTCCAGTGCCAGCTCCACTGCCCTGGAGCACACAGGAGGTTCATGTGGATTCCAGAATGGTTTGGGTGGGAAGGAACCTTAAAGCCCATCTCATCCCACCCCCTGCCATGGGCAGGGACACCTCCCACGATCCCAGGCTGCTCCAAGCCCTGTCCAGCCTGGCCTTGGACACTTCCATGGATCCAGGGGCAGCCTCAGCTTCTCTGGGAATTCTATTCCAGACTCTCACCACCCTCACAGGGAACAATTCCTTCCCAATATCCCATCCATCCCTGCCCTCTGGTGGTGTGCAGCCATTCCCTGTGTCCTGTCCCCCCATCCCCTGTCCCAAGTCTCTCTCCAGCTCTCCTGGAGCCCCTTTAGGCTCTGAGGTCTCCCTGGAGCCTTCCCTTCTCCAGCTGAACCCCCCCAGCTCTCCCAGCCTGGATCCAGAGCAGCTCCATGGCCTCCTCTGGACTCACTGGAGCAGTTCCTCATCTTTCTGAGGCTGGGTTTCCTTCAGTGACCTTCTGGCTCCAGGTGCTTTGATCCTGGATCATGCTGGCACACATGTGCTGCTGCTGTGCTGCTCCTCAGAGCCAGGTGGTGCCTGGACCCACTTCAATCACAGCCCAAATCCACCTTCATCCCCTTCTCTTCTCCCCCTCAAGTTTCCCCACAAAGCTCTGTGCTTTGGGACCTGAACACAGAGCAATTCCTTGCATCCCAAAGTCACTGGGAACGTATTTGTTACACAGAGATGCAGCAGCACTGGCAGATCTGAGAGAATTGGATATTCCCCATCAAAAGAGCTTTTTTCCCTCATAAGGAAATCAGAATCACAGCTCCTCACTTTCTTCTGACACTGGCACACACTGGCTTGTGTCTCCTGCCACTCCCACACCCCCAGCTGCCTCTTCTTCTGGCCAGCCCATCCCACTGCTCAGCCAGCAAGGCTCAAACAGAGCCTCACCTCTGCTCCCAGTGCTATTGCCACCCTTTTCCAGAGCAGACTTTGGGATTTCTCACTGTCTGATGAAGCCCAGGGAAGTTTTCCATCCTTGCCACACCAAACCACCCTTGTAGAGGAATGAGACAAACTCCCAACTGGGAAGTTTTCCATCCTTGATACAAACTCCCACAGGGAAGTTTTCCATCACTGCCACACCAAACCATCCTTGTAGAGGAATGGCACAAACTCCCAACAGGGAAGTTTTCCATCATTGCCACACCAAACCATCCTTGTAGAGGAATGTACAAACTCCCAACTGGGAAGTTTTCCATCCTTGGCACAAACTCCCAACTGGGAAGTTTTCCATCATTGACACACCAAACCATCCTTGTAGAGGAATGGTACAAACTCTAGAGGAATGGTACAAACTGTAGAGGAATGGTACAAACTCCCAACAGGGAAGTTTTCCATCACTGCCACACCAACCCATCCTTGTAGAGGAGTGGGACAAACTCCCAACAGGATTAAACACCCAGTCTGGAGATGGGCTTAGCAGCAGAGGGATGGATGCCTGGAAGCTGCTCAGGGTTAACCCTCCTGTGAGAAATCCCAGATTTGGGCTCTTTTAAAAACTGAGATTTAGCAAAACGGGAAGAAAGCAGAGTTATTATGAGACCAACACACACCTTCAGCAAGGACCTGCAGAATGTCCCTGTGACCCAGCCACTCCACAGTGTCACCATCCACCTCCCCAGATCAGGCCCACAACGATTCCCTCCTCTGGAACCGCACAGGCTCCCAAATGTCGGTCCCCAACATTCCCCACAGCGCGAGGCTCGAAGGTGACACAAAGCAACTCCTGTGTGTGTCAAGTCCCCAAAAAACCAGCAGGGCTCCAACACAACAGATGTGCAGATGAGAGCCAGGTACAAAAAGCCATTATCTTCCATCAACACAAATGCATTTTTCTTTCACAAATAACACCCATTAGCAGCTCCAAGGAGAACAATCCCCGCTCCGAAGGAGGATGCGGTTTTTTCGGCAGACACAATGCAAAGATTTTGTAGAATTCGCAGGTTCAAAAGCACTAATGTGAAAGATTATTTCGCAATTAACCGAGCAATTTTCTCTCCTCATTGTTCCCGGACCATAAGGGTTTTTAAATGTGAGCAGAAGGATTTATTCATCACAATAATAATAAAAGGAAATATTAAATCAATGAATCTCTTTGCATGCAGCATAAAGCTCACATTGCTATTAAGCTCAGTAGCATCCTGTCACATAAACCACACGCAGTTTGTGTATTTAAGCACCATCTCCCTCTTTTATTTTTCCCTTCCCTAATTTGTAAGGCATTATCCTTCCATTTGTCCTCTAAACACAACCAGATTCAGAGCACTCAGTTCTTGTTAGCAGCTCTCTGCCCTTGCTCTCTTTATGAGGGGAGATTCATATTTAATTTTGATTTTTAACAACGGCCAGTGAAGGAGGTTATGCTGGGATGACAAGGAAGTCCTAAAATAAATAAAAATTTGGAGTAGAATTCACTCCTTACAAGTCAATGTCCAAGTGAGTACATTTTTCATGGGTCTGAAAATGAATGTTGGCTTTTGAAGGTGTCACTTCTTCAGTTTGGCTGAGGAAAAAAAAATAATCAACTCAAATATATGCAAAAGTCAGCTACAACCTTGGGAGCATGGAAGCTCTCACAGTCATGTCAGCCTTGGCTTGTAATTTCTTCTCTGCCAACCCTTGTAACATAATGTGAGAATTGAGTTTTGAGGTCTTTGCAGTCGACACTAATTCAGTGGGTCCCTCTTTTGTTTTAATAAAAAATTCATCTGGCAAAGTGCAGAAACAGTTACTACTTAGGAATTTATAAGGTGTCAACTGTCCTCACAGGGAGGCACTTAAAAAAGCCTAAGCAAAGATTTCCAACGAGCAACAATCTTTAGCTTTAGGCACCAAAATTCACATTAGGCTCCTCAAAAGCAATTCTCATTCACTGAGTGCTAAATACCTGGCACCTCTTGTTTTTTCCCCACTGATAAAAATACCCAAAAGAGGTACAGACACCTCCAGCCATCCCCCAGGACTGAAGCTGAGCTGACACAGACGACTCCAACATGCAAACCCCACCATGAACAAGCCCACTGTAGCTACATCTGTCTTACCATGATTGGGACGCCGATGTCCGGCCACAAGAGATCCTCGGAGGGAAGCTTGGGAGAGTTCCACACCACCACAACTTTGTTTAAGTAGGGGAGACCATTGAGCCTTTCTAGGGAGTTCATCAACACTTCCTCCCGCTCGTAAGTCAACATCACCACCGTGAACTGCTCCCGTGGGACGTTGCCACCCAAAGCAGCCTGGAACTCCTTCCCAGAGCCACCTGCTCCTCCGCCAATTGGTCGAAATCCAGTCCCAGACCCCAAAAATTTTGCTTCTGATGGTAAAACGGGGTCAAAGGGAGTGTAGGGGAAGAGGTGGAAAGGCCCCGGGGCAGAATTCCAATTCCTGTAGATATCCATCGCGGTGAGGGTGAAATTGCGGAGATATTTGGGAGAGGCGTAGGGTGGCTCTGTTTCCACGGGCCCCAAGTCCAGGTCACCATTGTCTGCCATATTGGGGTCAGTACCAGCAGCTTTGCCAGACCGGTGGGGGATCTCCACGGCGGGTTCTTCTCGGATAGGAGCAGCTGGGATTTGGATTCGAGTCCTTATGATGGCTAAGACTGTGCTGAAGACGTTGTCGGAGGTGGAGAAGTAGGTCTCCCACAAGAAGCGGCCCTGCCTCCTCATGGCAAGGAGATCATTGTCAGAAATGCTTCTCAGAAGAAAGTGCACTTCTGTGATACGTGGCTTTGGTATGATTAAGGCTGCCTCGTTCCACCGGATCACGTCGTTGTAGGGTAGCTGAACTTGCTCTCCGAGAACCACCGGGATGGCCCCGACTTCCAGAGCCTCAAACAGTCTCATGGTACACCCGGCGGAGATCACTAAATGGGTGTCCCCGGGGGTGATGATCAGTGCAAAAGTAGAAAGCTTCAGTAGCTCTAGTCTGTCTTCCCTTTCTCCACACAGAGCCCACTCAGTGGGCAGACTCGCCTTAGGCTGGTTCTTACACGTGAACTCCACCAGAACAAAGTCCAGCTTGCTGTCCTGAACAGCCTTCAAGGTGGTGATGATCCGGTCGTCGTAGTCGGCCGGGGCGTTGCCTTCGATCTCCTCTTCGAAAGAGCGAACCTCCTGCAAGCTGGAGCGGAGGGACTCGATCTTCTCCCCCTGGAAACTGAACAGGTACTTACGCTTGACCGGCACCTGGGGCGGGATCTCCAGGAAGTTGGGCTCGGACATGGCGTGGACCAGAGGTGACACCACGATGTCAAAGCCCGGTCGATACTGGGCGTCGTAAAAGGTGGACTGGGCGATCATGGCGCGCCCCGTGCTGATGTTGTAAATGAAGTTCTGAGTTTCCGACTTCCTCGATAGATTGATGATGAGATGGTTGTGTCCATCAGTCCTCCAATATGGCAAAGAGTGCAACTGTTGCTCTAGTTCAGTAGGTTTTGGCATTACGGGCTCTTGCATTTCCCCCACTAAAATTATATACACACAAGCAATATTTGCATTTTCAGTAACATAAACATTAGTTCTGACAGTCGCCTCAAAGGCCTGTTTAATTAAAGGGTCTAAGGAACTACCAAAAGGGTAATCGTCACTGTTGTAGACATAGACTGGAAAGCCAGACGTCAGCGGGCAGCGTGAGTAGTCAAAGCAGTTGTGCAGCCTGCAGTTCCTGTTGGATTTCGGCAGGGGGAAAGTCGCATCGTCCTTATCTGGCAGCAGCCGGATGGGCAAGGAGAGCTTGGGCTGGTTCTGAGCCATCAGCTCTTTGTAGGAATGCTCAGTCTGACTGATGACGTTCTTCAGCTGCAGCAGGTCCTGCTTGGCATTTTCAATGCTCTTCTTGCAGGCCTCGATCTTCAAGTTGAGCTTGGCGATCTCGCTGTTGAGCTCCTGCCGCTTGGCCTCGAGCTGGAGCAGCTCCTCGCTGACCGACTCGCGGATGCGGCACAGGTCCTGCACGTGCTTCACCTCGCACAGCTCGTTGCCGGTGCGGGGGCCGAAGATGCGCTTGCCGGCATCGTCCGCGTCGTCGATGGTGGTCAGGTAGTAGTGGGCGATGAGGGGGAAGAAAACGAGGATGACGAAGAGGGTGAAGCTAAGCCAGGTGAGCCGGATCCGACTGGACCACCTCAACACCCACGGCTGGCCTCCGTTCCCCACTCCCCCATTGCGCAACATCGTATAGCCAGTCATGAGTTCCAAAGTCGCCGCGCGCGCAATCACGTTGGATCAGTAGCCATAACCAAAAGAGTTTTTACAGCGAACCTCTCGAAGGGAAATGTTATTGTGCCTGCTCAACAAGAAGCCAATGGAAGGGGAATTTCATCTTCTTGCCGTGCCGGCGGCTCTTCCACGGTCGTTTTGCTGCAGGCGCAACTTCTGACCCCGTTAGACTCGATCATTGACCTTCTCGCCCACCCCCAGCCCACCCTTGGTCCGCGGGCAACCTTTGCTGGAAGTGTCACAGCGTTGTCATGGTGATTCAGAGTCACAACCGGCAGAAGAAAAACGCAGTGGGACCGAGCCAAACTCTACCGCGGCTGCCGACATCCTGCATTACCATCCAATGAATATGCAGAGGCAGCAGCCGTCGTGCAGACGGAGCCAGAAGGGACTCGTAGCACTGTCAGTCTCTGTCATCGCTGCTGGGAGGGTGAAGCTCTGCCATTCCTACAAGAGAACAATCACACAGTCAGGCAACACAACCAAAACGACCCACTAGTGACCTAAGACATGGTTAGATTTAAAAGCAATTGTCCTCTCTCAAAAGAACAACCTCTGGGCTGTCACCTGAGAAGGTGGCGGGATCCATGAGATGTGGACACACAGCTTGCTCCAGGCGCTCTGCTCCTCATTAGGGTTGTGTAGGGTTGCTCCAGACCACACAACCTCCTCAGCTCTGGACCTGGATCCCTGTTTTTCCCACCTCTCCTCACATCCAAACCGGAGGCGCTGACGTACACCTGCTCTCCCTGCCCGCCCTGCTGTGATCCCGGGATGCAGCAGCGCTGGGAATTTGCACTGCATAACTGACTGTAATCGCCATTGTTCTGCTCTGGTGACTAGAGCTGATGAGGAATTTTTAGATGAAGTGTTTTGCTTTCATTTCCTGCTGGAAAATTTTGATTCATTGCATGAGGAAGTTTAAAGGGAACGTACTTGTGTTGGTTACGATTTATATGGCTGGCTGTGTATGAGGGAATTTCTGGTCAACACTAGAAAAGTTTACACCATACATCAAAGCAAAGATGCTGAAGTTAGGATCTGTTGGGAGCCTCTTGGGAGAAATTGTTCCTTGTGAGGGTGGAACAGGGTGCCCAGAGAAGCTGTGGTTGCCCACAGATCCCTGGAAGTGTCCAAGGCCAGGCTGGACAGGGTTTGGGGCAACCTGGGATAGTGGAAGGTGTCCTTGCCCATGGCAGGTGGAACTGGGTGAGTTTTAAGGTCCCTCCCCACCCAATCCATTCTGTGATTCTGTGGAATTCAGCTCTGACTCAGCTCTAGGCCGAGAGATTTAAATCTAGGCCACATCAATATGCTGTCACTAGAAAATCTCCCCCTTTGTTGGCATCCTCCAAGGTATTGAAGCTTCTGGGATATTCTTTCATACACTGGACTTCCCACAGCACTGATGAATATAGAGCTGGGCTTAGCACCAGCTCCTGCATGGCCTCAAGAGGAGCTCATTCATTTCCGTTTCAATTTTTAATTAGAAGAAAGTCATCCACGCTGGTGACGGTCATTTTTCACTAAATCTATTTAATGCCCTTCTCATCTACTCATCAAGAATTCCCAGAAAGAAGGTGAGGAAGCAAATCTCAGCTGAAAGAGAGAGCTGGAAATGGGCCAAGGCAAAAAAGTTCACCTTAAAGCAGCAAAGAGAAGTCAGGAGGAATTTTCAGCCTTGTACTCAACGCACGTCAGAGAAAATAAAGGGGAAATTTGATTTTAACCATGAAAAATCATCATGAAGAGGGGAAATATGTGGGGTAATAAAGCACAATCCCCAGGGCTATTGATACACAGCCATTTGTTGTCACTTACTTAACACCCCATGATTAAATGGGATTTCCATCCCCTCCCACCAACGTGACCCACAACCCAGTTGCACAGCAGAATGAACGCCTAAAACTAAGGCAGATTTTAAATTCATGACACTGGCAAACAGCAGTGGCGTAAATCTCAGAAAGCCAGGAGGATAAAGCGGCTAAAAAGTCAGCAAAAGGCTAAATCAGCTTTCTTGGATCTTGGCAGCACATGGCTGTGGGCAGATGGGAGGCTCCAGCCTCTGGGACTGCTCTGCCCAGCAGCAGGATTTTAGCAACCAAAGGCAAAAAACTAATAATAATATTAATTTTTTTAAAAGTTTTAATTTTATTTTTCATTCTTTCTTTTCCCCCCTTTTCAGGCCCTCTGCAGGAAGCAAAGCTCATGCTGGGTGTGTGTGTGCCAGTCCCTGCTATTTCAGGTCTCATGGGGGCTGCAAAGATCCTCCAGTTGCCACCAGTTTTCTGCAAACAGCTGGCCAGGAGATGAGCTGCCCTAATAATGCTTTTCCTGAGAGAAATGCCAAAGCACACACTCACTTGAACACCACCAGAATCTAAAAATCAGCTTAACTTCAAGGGGAAAACAAGCTTTGCTGGGTTTTTTTTATTTGGGGTGCCATAGGGTAAGTGGGGTCAAACGCTGCAGGGTGTTGAGGCAACACAGAAATCATAAATGTGGGCACTGGAGCCCCAAAGGTAAGACTGCATCAAAACCTTATTCCTTTGTGGCTACTTTGGCTTTTTATAAGCCATAATTGGTAATGAAATGGCAAACTGGACTCCCTAAAGTGGCAGCTGGGGTCCTGGAAAAGCCAAATCCATCACCCCACGCCTGATCCTCAGCAGCTGTTCTGCCACAGTGGCTCCTCTGCTCCTTCTCTTCCTTGACACAGAACAAAATTCATCCTCCTCACCTCAAAATATGGGTTGTGAATTAAAAACATCTGTGTGCTCAGAAGTCTAAGGTTGCCAATGTGACTCCATTGCTCTCCTGGAAAACACCACAAGGGAAAGACCAGAGCAGGCTGAGGACGGATTTAAAATGCACCACACGTGGCTTGGGATTAGCTAAAAGTATGGACTGTCAGTATGAAATATGTGCTGGCGATAAAATGAGCACTTTAAACACACTCCTGGACTCTTCTTCACTATTAAGACTTTATTCCTCATCAACTCAATCGAGCCTGAGGTTGTCACACGTTGCCATTTAGGACTTGTAAAAAAAAGACAAAGTAAAAACCCAATCTGTGATTTTATCAAGAGAAACTTCAGGGCTGTGTTTATCAGCCCTGGGGAAAAAGGCTGCTGATTTCCCTTCATTCCCAAAAAGAAATCTGGGAGGAGGAGAAGCAGGATAGCTGCTGAGCTTTCCAGCCAACTCATCCCTCTCACTCCCAGGTACTATTTATTTCTTTAAACTCACCAAACTCCACGCTGAAAACTCTTGTTGATGTTATAGCACAATGTTGCTGCCTGATGGAGCTGATTACACACACACAGAAAAAGAGGCAGGAAGAGCTCTTAGGGGATCAGAAGATCAATAATTACCAGAGCCTCTTCCCAAATGCCAACCTGATTGAATTCTCAGGCACCACAGGTTTGCACACTGCAGCTCCTTCTCCCACCGAACTCAGCTGCTCAGAGCACATTGTCAAAGCCTGGGCTGCATTCCCAGCTTTCCTCAGCTCCACAGCACGCACTCCCTGTGCCAGTGGAGTTATGGGAATTACCTGAGGTTCTCCCTCTTTTTGCATTTCTAGAAATAACCCGGCTGGTCTGATCTGTGAGTGTTTGTGGAGCCATTACGCTGCAAATATTCAAAGACTTGAGCACACCTACTCCTCCCTGCTTACACCTCTGCTACCCATCTTGCCATAAAATTAGGGAAATGCTGCTCCTTTCTCAGCATATTTGTGAACAGAGCCTGGAAAATTTAAACTTAGGGTCCTTCAGAGCTCAGCAGAGCAATGCACAACCATGAGGCAGAACATGACTGCACTGTGGGGAGGAAAATCCACAGGGATCCTCCTGCACCTGCTAAATCAGAGTTCCCAAACTCTCTGTGTGCATCCATACTCATCCTGAGTCCCTTTCCTTAAGAAGTGAGGGGTCTACAGTGTTATCATCCACAAAGTTCTGCTGCTCTCCATGGAGAACAAACCCACCTCTGCCACGCCAGCTCCCTCCTGGCAAACAGACAAGGACCTCAGGGAGTGTGGAAGTGGCTCCCATGCTTTATCTGGGCTTGGAGAGACACCTTCTATTGCCAAGTCTCTCTTTCATCAGCATTAGGAATGAAATCAAAGAGAGAAAATAAAAATACAGCACATTCTCCCCTTCAGAACAGGCCGTAGTGGAAGAAAATGAACTCCAAACAACCCTTCAGCAATGATAGCTTTCTGTCTCCTAATGCTCTCAAAGGGAAGGATTACATCCCAAATCTCCCAATCACTTTGGGAACAGGAGCAGTTGAACAAGGAGAATAAATCTATCAGGTGTGTGCTTTAAGGTACAGTTGGTTGGGAGCAGATCCATCAAAGGAGCAGATGGAAAATTCACTCTGAAATTGCAAGCAGCAGTCTTAGGGATCATCCTGAGGGATTTGTACCATCTCCAGAGCTCACAGGTACAGAGCAATTCCCCCAGGCTGAGATCAATGCTGTTATATGCACAGGTAAAAGGTTCTGTAATCTGGAAATTCCAGGGATAAACTGCAGCCCTGCCTTCAGGGAGTTTTATCCAAAGCAAGGAACATTCTGCACGTTTGCAGCTCCACGCAAAGCCACACCTGCTCCCGGCCCTGCTCCTCATCCACATGGGCATGTGTGGGGTAAAGGGATCCTGGAAAAATGCTCCAAGAGCCCCTCCATGTGCTCATCCTGGAAAAGTGGGAAACCAGACATGCTGAAGAAGGCAGTGGCTTTAGAAGTGACATTTGAGGAATTCTGAGTTTCCCACATCAAGTTCTTGAGGAAGAAGGGCACTCCTGCCACCACAGCACACAAGTGATGCTCTCCTCTCTGCTCCCAGCTGCAGGGAATGATGAGGGGAAAAGCAGGAAGAGCCAACAGATCAACACCTGGCTCCAAGCAGGTGGAATTTTGGGGCTTTGGATCATGGATTGGTTTACACCACAGCAGGTCTGGTGGCAACAGACAGGGTTCAGCTGTTTCAAAGGGAGAAAAGGATCATCCTGCAGGAGTTAGGAGGGCTCAGGAAAAGGGCTTTAAATAGGATTTGAAGGGGGATCTGAGAGCAACAGATATCCAAAACTCACTGGACAATGCCCACGTTCAGAGACATCCTGAAGTCCCTTCCCATCTAAATGATTGCATGGCTCAGTGTCCAGGCTCCCAAGGGGAAGCAATTCAGAAATGTGAGGGGAAACCTGGAGTTAAGATGTCCTGGGCCTTCCCCCAGCTCCAACACCACCTCTCTCCAGCACCCAGAGGAAATCAGGCACCCCCAGGCCCCCATCTCTGTCTCCACAAAGCAAAGGTGACCTCAAACTCTTCAAGGCACATGAGTGAAGAACTGAGTCTGGCTCTCAGCTTTGTGTTCTCATCTGGGCACTGGGACAAGGGCGTGCTCCAGGAGATGCTCAGTGTTGAGAAAACACAG